TCCCTTGGTACCCTTCGAAGGGTGCTTCCTCTTTTTCCCTTTGCCTTGCCCAATAGCTAAAACAGGGGTAGAAGTTGGAGTAGGAGTAGTAGAGGTAACAACCGCTTTACCCTTAAGACCGGTTTCAGCGGTCTTCAAGAGTCCTTGAAGCTTGCTGAGGGTAACTTCCTCCTTGTTCATATGATATGTCATTCGAAAATGATCATAACAAGAAGGTAAGGAGTGCAAAATGATGTCAATTGCTAACTCCTCGGGGATGTTAACATTCAGCTTCAGCAAACGGTCCACATACCTTTGCATCTTTTGCATGTGGCCGTGACGGATTCACCGTCCTTCATGCGGGTAGTTATTATGGAGGAGATTATTTCATACCGCTCCTGACGAGCACTCTGATGGTACCTTTCCATCAGGTCTTGGTGCATCTCAAAAGGGTAGAAATCTTCATACGACTTTTGGAGCTCGGCTGTCATCGTGGCCATCATGATACATGCCACCTTAGTAGCATCTCTCTCATGAGTCCTGAATTCAGCGATCTCCTCAGGAGTAGCAGTAGACTCATCAAGTTCTTTTAACTCCTTATCGAGGACATATTCCTTGTCCTCGTAACGAGTAACCATCCTGATGTTCCTAATCCAATCCATGAAGTTGGAACCATCAAAGATGACCCTCCCACAAAGATTCATGAGAGAGAAAGAACCAGTTGGGTTAGAGCCTGAAGCATTAGTGTTGGAAGACATCTGAAAGAAGAAAGTAAGTTTAGATTAGATATTTAGGATCCTTAATAAGACACCCAAATGTAATATTAAGGCTAGGATCCAATCACAATATATTACACTTAGAAGAGGGATGCCGTAATCTAAGTAATAATATATTTGAAAGGTAGGTGAATGACGATTCACCAATTTCCACCATGAAAACGAAATGATTTATTAGGTTTAATTGGATTTGAAATTCCTAGATTCTTTTGAGATTCATTGAACTTTTCAATGGCATGTTTCAATCTCGATTGTGCCCTTCAAGTTTTGTGACTGGGATGCCGAGGATCACAAAACAAGGTGTGAATAACCATGCTAATTCACTTGGTACTCCTTAATATTATCACCTAATCAATGTGCCGGTTAACCACACACGCTCCATTGATCTATGACAAACATTAAGTACCCTTCGTGATCCTTACTAGTCCTAGTTAGTGTGCCGGTTAACCACACATGCTCCACAACGACTTGGTAAGGTACAAAGTGTGAATTCCATGGATTAGCACCATGTTCACATTTTCCTAAAATAACTAAGATTGGGAATTAAAAGAGTTTAGTTATTTTATAATATTCATTATACTTTTAATGAGGATTTAAAGTCATTGTTCTACCCGTTCGGCTAACGACCCTCCACCGATCAAGCAAGCGGTGGGTGAGAGTATACACCCATTAAGTCGCCATTTTATAGGCAACAACCTTATACCCACCTTATAGACCGGCTTCGTGAATGAGGCCTACTAACGGTAAAACGACTTATTCTTATACATATATATAATAATTAACCATTAATGTTATAAATAGTATAAGGGTTGAATTTTAACTATTAAAACTCTAAGGTTTGGAATTAAAGTTTATTAAAGTGTGTGAAACTTTACAAATTCCAAAACTTGAGGGCAAGTTTTGTAACTTTGCAAAACTCTTCATTTCATAACTTATGAATTAAAGGTTCATAAAAATGAAGACTCTTCATTTTCATGTAACTTATGTGTTTTAAGTGTGTGTTAAATGAAAGTGACCTTTGGTAATCCATAACTTGAGGACAAATTATGGACTCCATTAAAACACATAAATGATAAAGAATTAATCCTAAACAATTCAGCAAATAATTCCTATCATTTTCTAAATTCATAAGAACATGAACATGATCATCAAAATTCAAGAATTATATGAACACATAAAATCATGGAATTTTGATATATGCTATTGTAAATGGATTAGAACAACCATTACACCAACTAAAATAAGTTTTATAACACCAAAACAATTTAGGGTAATGTTTCTAGTCCATTTCCAGCAGCAAAAGTCGAGATTCTGCATTCTTTCGATCCTACTCGCCGAGTGCACGAACGGACTCGTCGAGTAGGTTGAAGTTTGCCTTGGACTCGGCGAGTCCCCCCAATGGACTCGGCGAGTCGACCATGCAGACAACAACGATTTCGACTTTTTTCACTATTTTGCATCAAGTATCAAACAAGCAAGCCTAGGCTCTGATACCACTGTTGGGTTTTGAGCAATCTAACACTTCCTAAGTGTGCATGCAACCCTAATAAACCTTGGATCTATGTTTGTCTAAATACATGCAAAATAATAATTTTCCAAGGTTTATAACCTATCTAACATGGCATGGGGAACATTTCAACATAAAAGAGTTAGAAGAGATTACATACCTTTTGGTGTGTTGGGTTCTTAGGAGTTTGAGGGCCAAGCACCAATAGTGTGAATGCCTCAAATGGAATCACAAACACCACAAACTCTTGGAAAACTTTGAGAGAGTATATACACCTTGTATAAATCGGCCACACACATGCACACACACACTAGATCACTAGCTTTCTCTTAGGCTCCATTTCATGCTCCATAAGCATGCTTATATAGTATGCATGGTTAGGGTGAAACCCTAATAACCCATGTCTTTTCCTTTTCCAAGGATCCATGGGTTAAAAGCTCCATGGATCATCCATGGACTTCCACATAAGCCTAGCCCATTAACAAATGAGTATTAGCCCACACTATATAAAACAAATAGCCCATAATTTAATTAGTATTCCTTTTAATCTCTAAATTAATTCATGATTAATTTAAGACTAAAACTAATTAAATAACGTAACTTCATATTAATATATTATAACTCATAATATATTAATAAACATATGTGTATAACTCTCATAAAATTATCCATAATAGTTTGGATGAGATGCAACCCAAATGGACCATGCCGGTCGGGTCAAGTATATACCAAATAAGTTATGGACTTAGACACCTTATCCAACAATATTTACTTATGAGTATTAAATAATATTTTATACGCGAATATTACATAGTATTCCATGGTATATCAAATGTGAATATTACATACTATATTCACTTGTGAATATTAGATGATATATTCACTTATGAATATTACACAGTATATTCACATATAAATATTACAAGGTATATTTACTTGTGAATATATTCACTTATGAATATTTCAAGGTATTTTGACAAATATATTTAATTTTTATATGTTATTCACATATGAATAACATACAGACTCGCATATTTGTTTTGTGTTTTTAATAATCATATGTTGATTCTGGTGAGAAAACATATTCATATGTGAATATAACATGGTAATTTAGTTTATGCATTTCATCAAACAGTTTGAGTACATACAAGTTAACTATTTTAAAAATGTTAAAAACATCAAGTTATCAATTCCAAATCATCATATACTTCCGATTTCGACTTCAGATGCGACATCCTATGTCTGATCGATTTCTCATTTTGATTTTGATTTCCGAAAATCCAATTGGGAACCTGTGAGTACCGATTCCGAGTCCTTCAATGTCGACTGTGACTGCGAGTTCAGAACTCCGATTCCAATTTCATGAACAGCGAAGAAATTCCGATTTAGTTGAAGAAATCTGGATGATTATTGAAGGTTGGAGGAAAATTTTTGATGATGAACGGACTGTTATCGATACGTATTTGAGATTGAAGGTTATTAACATATTTACAAGTTTATCACCGTGTCTTTTTATGTTTAGATTAAATGAGTGGCTGAGAATGATTCCCCAACATTTTTTATTTTCTCAATTGAACTCACCTCTCTCTCTCTCTCTCTCTCTCTCTCTATATATATATATATATATATATATATATATATATATATATATATATATATATATATATATATATATATATGAGAATTTTATTATCTTTTTTAGTTTTGTAATTTTTTTTAGTTTTTTCTTGGCATTGAGTGTCTATAAAAGAATATGACATATGCTTGTAAAATAATAAATACCCGACAAGTTTTTTCGGAAAAATTAATCAATAAATACCTGAAAATACATGTTTATAAAAATGAAAAATAAATAAACGAACTTAATAAAATATTTAAGATGAATAAATGATAAATTAATTGATTTTAGAAAAATTTATTGAAAATGTTAACCATTGAAAATGATATTTTAATAAAAAGTTTTTGTTAGATTATGGTAGGTGGAAAGATAATATAAAAAAAACAATAAGTATTTATAAGTTTAATCATTGGAGGATTATAATATATAAATTAATAAATTTTTATATTTTGTAAAATATATGTAGGTTACGAAAGGCTTGTCAAAATTAATATGATAAACTTTAACAAAATTTAATTCTTAGATATCATTTTCAATATTGGACTTATTTTATATCTAAATATTTTTTCGACTCTAATAAATGAATATTTTTTTTTGTAACATTCTTATTTAATTTGCCAAATGTTATTTTGTGGTTATTTTAATTTAATATTTTTTCACATGTTATTATATAAGTTTTTCTATTTTTTAAATTTCACATAATATTTAATAATTGAAATAAATAAAGTAATAAATTGATATCAATGTCATTAATGAACTTATATTTTAATTTCAAAATCTCAAAATTAAAGCTCGCTGGTTTTTTTTTTTTGTTTATTTATTTAAATTTAAAAATATAAAACATTACTATTATAACAATTTATTATTTTCTTATAAATTCAAAGTTTCAAATATTTACACCTTTATATTTAATTTTATTTAATTAATATGGATTTCGCAACTAATTTATGAAAATATGCTTGTAGAAATTAATTTTAACATTTGTATCATATACTTACAATTTATATATAAGTGACAAAATATACCATAAAACATTATTAATATATAATATATGAATTTGTCTTTGGTGAACATAGCAACAAAATAGTGGGCTAGGGTCGTTAACACCAAAATGGTGCAACTTTAAAGCTTCAAAATAGCCTATGGTTGGAGATAGTTTTAGTAAGAAAAGATTGTCCAAATCGTAATTTTAAAGAAATACAGGGACTATTTGTAACTTTAGAGGATCATGCGAATCCGGGATGCCTGTCACCTTGCTCCAATTTCCCACTGTAGCCTCTGCCGATCAACGGAGTTTCTTCGAGCTGTTTTTTTTTTCTCTCTCTCTATCTCTTCGACGATCGTGTATATTTACCGGCGGACGTTAGCGCTACCTTCTGGCCATTCCTCTTTTTCCATCGGCCTCTTCTACGCAATTTCATTCTATTTGATTCCATTTGCATGCCACATCTGGTAAAATTCTCTTTCAATACAAAACCCTCTTTTCAAAACCGCTTTAGTTCACTGTTTCTTCATTTCTCATCTGCTTGAAGTTTCCGCTACTGAGTTTTCATCTTAAGCGCAGAATAACTGTGAGTTTATTTCATTGATGCATTTTATCCAACTTTCCAGTAGTGATTTTGTCATGTTCTCTTATACACGATTATTCTTACTGTCACTAGTAGCCAATGTCGCTGTTGAAGGTTCCATTATTATGTATTAGCAGTCTTAAGGCTGTATGAATGATGAATTTGCTATTTCAACCTTTTTGTTTGTTTTTGTTTTACTCGTATTCAGTATTTTGTTACTGATCAAAATATAGGGTTAAGCCCTGGTAAAAATCTACGTGCACCATTTGTATTCTGCATTTGGGGAAAATCGTAGTGTCAATCCATGATTCCATGATCTCAATGCGTTAAAACGTAACAAATCATAGGAGACATCTACTTTGTGGTTCAAATATCCATATAATCTTCTTACTTGGTTCCTACATTTCATGAAATGAGGGTTCAATCATGTAATTTGTGAAGAATAGTACTTGTCGATCATAGTTTTCTTTCAACTGTGTGTGTTCATTTATGGAAGCAGTCACCACTGCCTACCTCTTACCTCTCCTAGCCCATTCATATGGGAGTTCTTTTTTATTTATTTATTTTGTTGTTGTACATTCTGAAAATATGATAGGAGTGCTCTAGAGCTATCCTTTTCTCCACATATTAAGTCTGGATATTACATTCTAAAGTAAAGAGTAAACAAAGGACTAATCGGGTGAATCTCCTAACACTTGGAGTGTGATTTGGGTAAAACTACTGTTGGTAACTTTTCGTATATGTGGTTGAAGACATGTTCCTTTATCATGTGCTCCTTTTGATAACTTTAAAATGATAGAGGATATGGTTTTCTATCTCAGAAAAGGATCTCCTCTTTTTCATAGAGAAACATTGAAAAAACTATTTAGGTTTCTGTTCTGTTTGCTGGTTCTTTGTCAGTTCTTCTGTTGTGCCACATTTTATAGTGCATTGTTCTTACTTTCATCTTTGATACCAAGGCGATTCTGAAGACTTTTATGACTTTTCAGCAGATTGCAACAATCAGGATATGGTTGAAGCTGGTTGGGATTATAATCCTGGAGAAGTGGATGCAGGGTTGGTTAAGATGGAATCAAATTCTGTCAGGATAACTGATGACCAAGTTGAGTACTTGCATACAAAGTCCAATGCCCATAGAAGAATACCAGAATCTGAAGGGAATAGGAGTCGAAGTGCCTCAAGTACAGGTCAAAGTGGCACTTGCATCTTGGATCATGAAAAATCACATGTTGATGATACAAGCCCTTGTTCTACAGCATCAGAATGTGCTGCACCCATTTGTCGCCAATTTTGGAAAGCTGGAGCTTATAATGAGGATCTTACACCTGTCTCCAAAACCCATGGTACTTCACAATCAAACTATTCTCATGATTCTCTATAGACTATAGTTGTTTCTTCTTGGTGCATGTGTTGTATGCATGTGATTATACTGATATGATTGAATATCATTTTCATGATTAAAGATTAAATTTCTATTAATATATTGTTTGCTGCATTAGTAACTTTGTATGTAATTAATAGCTGGTTCAAGTTATCTACACATACACCCGAAGTTTCTTCATTCTAATGCCACTTCACACAAATGGGCATTTGGTGGTATGTTGAGCTTCACCCTGTTATTTGTTCTATGTTATATAATCCTACACTAAATAGATATCTTGTACGTTTCTAACTCATTCTATTTGCCATCTTGTATCTGCAGCCATTGCAGAGCTTCTTGATAATGCTGTGGATGAGGTAATCATGTTAATGTATTTCTAGTTGATTTTTCTTCAAGAAGTTTATTTTTATTTCTTTATATACCATCATTCTTGTTGTTGCCTATTTGTTTATTTTGTTTGGATACCATTACATTTGTCTTTATGATAGCTAATCATTTCTTTCTTTCCCTAATCAATCTTCCCATGCTTTACCTGTTGTGTAGATACAAAAAGGCGCCACCTGTGTGTACATAGATAAGACTTCAAACCCAAGAAATGGAAGTCCAGCATTGCTGATTCAAGGTAATGTTGTGCTTTAGGGTTTTCTCTTTGTCATATTCAAACTCTTGCAAGGTTGTCATTATTTGTGTGGCTTTTGTCTTGATGATTTAAATTTTAAAAACTAGATGATGGGACTGGAATGGATCCAGAAGCAATGCGCCAATGTCTGAGTTTTGGGTTTTCTGATAAAAAGTCAGACTCTGCAATTGGAAAGTGTATGAACACAGTCTTCTCATTGTTGTCATTTTGTTTTTTTTCTTTGTTTTAATTGGTTATGTTGTTGACATTTAGATGGGAATGGATTTAAAACAAGTTCCATGAGGCTTGGAGCAGATGCCATAGTTTTCAGTCGCAACTTTGTTGGCAGGTTTGGCCCTTGGGTTATCAACATGACTAGATCTTCTATTGTTTTTCTATTCTACACAAAGGGGTTTTTAAAACTTGTAATATCTTTAAAATTATAGTATTCTCAAAGTATACTATGCATTTAAGCTAAACAAACCCATGCGGATCCAGAAACAAGGATGATCTGCAGTTGACAGCAAGTTGTCATCTTGTTGTATACACCATTTTCATATTTTCACACAACAATTTTTTTTTTTAACAATGAAACACCAACTTTAATATTTTAAATTATGTTCAAAAATAACTTTTAACAAGTCCATGTGGATCCAAAAACAATGTCCACCTCAAGTTAACAACAAGTCATTTCTCACATAACAATAAGATTTTACAAACTTTTATATCTTTAATGTTAATGTAATATGAATCTATGCTCCATGTGGACCCAGAAACCATAATTACAGATCACCTGCAGTTTACAGCAAATTGTGCATGTGTTATATACACTGTCTTTTTCACGCACAAAAAAAAAAAGATTTAAAATAATTTAAGAGCAAAATAAGAAGTTATGTTATTGTTTTGACTTTTGACATTCGGGTATCCTAACTGTTTTGTATACAGTTTTGAAGAATGTTTGAAAGGGATTGGGAGTTTGACACAGAGCATTGGCCTTTTATCCTACACATTTCTGACTCAATCAGGCTATGACAGAATCGTTGTTCCCATGGTGCATGAGAGTTTAAATTTCTTGTGATTTGCATTTACGCATTCATATTTAGGTCCTGAATTACTCAATTGTATACTGCAGGTGCACTATGAGTTTAATTTTAAGACACACGTTTTCCAGCCACGCCAACACTCTGACTCAAATCTATCTGTGCTTTTGAAGTGGTCTCCTTATTCAACAGAGGAACAGTTACTAAAGCAAGTAGGCATACTGTTTCTGTTTCTTTCTTGGCCTAAATGCACAAAATACCAATGTACTTTTCAAAAGAAGCATATTGTTGTTTCTTTCTTACTACAACATTATGCTTTCCTCTTACTTCTTATTAGGTATCGTACTTTGAAAAATCTACCCAGTTATGGTAACTGATAACTAAAAGTTTAAAAAATACATATTGTTATTTGTTGCATTAAAATCGGCTGATCTTGTGTTTAAAATTGAGCTTTCTTGGAGTTGTTGGACCAATCATCTCCTTGTTGAAGTTTTACTTTTACCACAATCAGTTTGTATTACAACATACTAGATATAGAATTGTAGATTGTCCATAATGCTAATGGGTTGTTATTACTTTTATAGTTTGATAATGTTGGTCCTCATGGGACGAAAGTCATCATCTACAATTTATGGCTCGATAACGAGGGTAATGTGGAGCTTGATTTCGAGTCAGATCCCGAGGTTTCAACTTTTTTCTTTTCCAACATTACCCTTTTTGTGGTTATTCTTAACACAATTTTCAAATTTGAATTTTCTGCAGGATATTCGTATAGAATGGGATGGAAAAAGTAAAGCAAAGGATGATTCTCTCAAGGCAAAAAATGAAAATCACATTGCCAATCGCCTAAAATATTCTCTTCGTGTAAGTGTGATGAGTTCAACTCTATTTTTTGAAGTATGCAGTTTTTCCTTAAATTTCTAAAACATGTTTCAGGCATATTTATCCATCCTGTACGTCAACCTTCCGGAGACTTTCTGCATTGTATTGCGAGGAAAAGTTGTTCTTTATGATAACATTGCAACTGATCTCAAGCACCCTGAATTTATCGAGTATAAACCGCATAGTGGCGAGGTCATTATAACTTTTTATTTATATAATTAACTTCAAAAACTAGGCAATCACCTGATTTTCAATTTGATCAAATTATTTCAGGGCAAAGTGTTAACAACAATAGGGTTCCTTAAGGAGGCCCCAGATGTAAATGTCCATGGCTTTAACATCTACCACAAGGGACGTTTGATACTGGTCATTTTGATTTACATTCTTCATTTTTACCTATTTATTTATTCCTGTTAAAAAAATGGAAATTCTAACAGTTTGTTTAATTTTTTATTCAGCCTTTTTTTCCCGTGGTTACTTTTAGCCGCAACCGAGGGAGAGGTGTTGTTGGTGAGTGTTTGGTCTTTGTTATAGTTGACCATCCAAACGACATTTTTAGTTGACTTTTTTTTTTCTTTTTCTTTAGGTGTACTTGAAGCAAACTTTATCGAACCAACACATAGTAAACAAGATTTTGAGAAAACAAATGTTTTCCAAAAGCTTGTGGCTAGATTAAAAGACATGACCCATGAGTACTGGTGAGACCTAGCTACTACTTACTTGTTTCATGCCAAATAATATTATAACACAACATAAAGTAACATTTATTTATTTGATGTTAGGGATGTTCATTGTAGCCTAATTGGGTACCAAGTCCCTAAAAAGCTTCGATCTTCTTCATTGCCTCCCCCAACCCCGAATACACAAACACCTCCACCAAGCACCAAAACCACTGCTAATGATACTGGTGGCTCTAAAAGCGCACCAGTAATCACAACTGTTAGCAGCAGGGCTGCTTTATATGCTAAATCACCACCCACTCCCAATCCCAATCCCATCATAGAAGAACCTGCTGTCCCACAAGCTGCTGAAGAGGGTAAGTATTATCATTATTTCATTTTAATAATAATAATAATTTGTTTTTATTCTTGAGGGTATACATTGATAATCCTATGTTGTATTAAATCAGGAGGATCAGGTTTGAAGAGGAAATTACCAGAGGGAGAAGGATCCCATTTGAAGAAGCATATGACAGAAGCTGATCAACCGGACTCAAATATGGTAATAAATGTTTAGATTGGAAGAAATACTCTTTATTATCGTAATTTCTTTCATCATAACAAGCATCTTGTTCGTTGTTTGTAGCCTAGTACTGCACAGAGTCAAAGGATGATCATCTTGATGCAAGAAAACAAGAAGCTCCAACAACAGTGACTATCTATCTTTTTAGTAAATTTTATAATATGTGTATATATATTGTGTTGTGACTTGTGAATGTCATTTGGTTTATTTCAGATGCTTAAAATCCGAGAAGGCAGGGGAAGAACTTAATCTCAAGGTATGTAGTTGATTTTAGTAATATTTTCTTACAGATACAGACAATCTATCTGCATTGCATTGCCGTTGTTTATTAATTTAATGTCAAATTCTCTTTCAAAAAAATAATAATAATGTTAAATGTCATATTATTATTATTAAATAGGAATTGGCAAATTGGCAGGTGATGAATCTGAAGATAGCATTAGGTGAGGCTCAAAAAGAATACGCTGCTTTGTTGGCAGAGTTGATGGTTTTAGAGAATGTGAATGTTAACGTGGAAAATAGCAGCAGAAGTGGATATTTGTACATGTAGGCAGTAGATATGATTCCACGACTCTCTCTCTCTCTATATATATATATATATACATATAATATATATATTGTCTTTTTTGGAATAGGGAATGAGGTTTAGGTAGGGGTAGTAAAGCTGTAAATGTGAATATAGGGATGATGAAATATTATGAGAGGTACATGGCACTACTAGTAAATACTAATAGGACCGAAAAAACATTATTGTCAAGTGAAGTCCTTTTTCGTACGTGTTTTCCATGAGATGGACACAATTCCCTAGTCCACTTCTTCTATTAAACAAAATCATAAAACCTCAAGTCAACACCCTATTTGTTACCCACAACAGGAGTCAAGATAGCACATGACATGTTGAAATTCACAAGGGGATAAAATAAAATAAAGGTTATAATTTTTGTGTATTGACATTTGCCAAATGCTGTACAAACATACATGTTTAGTGCAGTCCTATGTGAAGGTGAGTGACACAATACAAAATAGCTGGCCTCCCTCAAGGAACAATTCCATAAATTTGTGTTTACTTGAATGATGATGTGAAACGTAAACAAACGTAACATTCTCTTCTATTTATTGTGTAATTTAAGTAGCAGTTTAAATATGTTGAATATTATATAAACATAAACACAAACTAGGATGAAAAGAATACCATACAAGAACAAACAGCAGCTGACATGAATAAAAACACAAAACAAAATCTTAAGTTCCATTGTAGACTAGGGATTAGGGAGGAGCTCAACAAACCAAACCAAGCTAGACAATATCCACAGCAAAACATACAAAATAATGAAATATAAACTGCGAAACTGAACTGGCAGTGTAATTTTGATTAAAAACCCCAATGGAAGTGCATAAGTGTAAACAAAATACATCAAAACCATACAGTATCTACATAGCTTCCAAAGATTTGAACTTTTGATGCATATGTCCTCAAAATCCGCGACTATTCAAGGAAAGGAGAATACAATCAACCAAAATGCATCAAAAGTCAAAACCTAACCTCCTTTCGATTGCATCAAATACTGTTTTGGTCACAAAACGCTATGATCTGAGATTACTATGGCTAAGAGACCAAAATTCACAAAAGTGACATGACCATAACTTGCAGCGTTGCAGTTTACTTGATAGAAACATCTTCAAATGCCCCAATTTGAATTAACAATATGCTGAAAAATAAATTGCCAAACTGATCAGGCAGACATAATTGAAAATTTATTGATCGACAAATAGAATAACAAATTGGCTCATATTGGAACACACGCTTTGATGCATACACTGGCATTACCACCACCATTACGTCAATACGAGCCCTAGTTGACAAAACGACAAGGTAATAAACAAAAAATTGTCCAAATCGTAACCTCTGTCTCCACGTTGCATGACATAAGCGTCAGTAAGTTCCTAATCCTTTGAGTAACTCGATACCGATTTAAGATCATTCTTACAAGTAAAACTTTACAACAAAAATGATTGAAGTTCTTAAAAGACTTTAAGGATCGATTCTTTCATATTTTCTACCAAAAGACCCTACACTTCAAAAGGATTGTGGAAACATTACAACTAGATAGAAATTACAACTGTTACTACATAACCAAAGCAAATGAATTGCAAGATGCAAGTCTTTCGACCGTATTTGTAACATGTGTAACGGGTCCGAGGTGAAGAAACGATTAGCGCTCGAAATGGATTGCGACTTTTTAGGTTATTATGAATAGATAAGAGTCGAGCACTCCAAGAATACCTTTTGGAAAATATGTTCTAAATTTTTTATAAGACTTATTCTTACTCGATATTGAAACATGAAGTTAGGTCATTGTCTCTTGATGGCTTTATTTACCAACACCTAGTATGAGAATACATATTTTGATTGTGAAGTTGTTCCTCGCACGTTATTCATAGATTAGATAAATGTTGTTTATGTGTCGAATTAATATTGTTAAAAGTAGGCAGTACACATGTGCTTAACCTAGATTTACTTTCATTCCAATTCTTTCATGATATAACTTATTTGCCAGAATTCTAAAAATATTTTGTAAACCAAACGCCGCCGTTTAAACAAATATACATACAAGTAAATGCTGCAATCATTAGATGGAAAAAGCGGCTGCAATTATTACAGAGTTTGGCATACATACATGTAAATCATTTCTATTGTGGCTTTACAAAAATATAGGCTGCAATTACTACATGGAAATAGAGGGAGTTCTTGTCTCACCTTTTTTGGGTAAAACATTAGTGTTGTGCCTAGCAAATTAATTACAACATATTCAGTCGCCTGCAATCATAATAAGCATCTTATTGTAATTGCAATTGCACCACAAAGCATTAACACTGAACTCCAACTAAAACCAGGATGATGGACCTAAATAGAAGAACATAACTATGATCCAGGTACATTTTAAACCCTAGCGAATATAGCATAACAGAAAGAACATAAAGGATTAATATGGATGATCTGAATAAATAAAAACAATCTACATTGGTACTAATCTACAGAGACTAAAAACTAGAGGAATTAAAGATGCAACCCTAAATTCAAAACTGACAAACTTATTTGATTTTAGTTTCATAATCCTATTGCAATTTAAACCATAAATTCATATAATTATAAATGTTGGATAAGCTTATTTGCTTCAAGAAATCAAAATGAATCTGAGTTTTGATGCTCCATTAATGATCAAAAGCAGGGCAGAAAATCATCAATGGTAAGACTGGTTTGATCACAAAACGCCATCATTTAAGATTACTATGGCTAATAGATCGACCATCTCACAAACACTATAACAGCTTAAAACTCACAAAAGTCCATCATCATAACTTGCAGTTTACTTGATAAAATATAGTTACAAACACCCCAATTTGGGTTAAACTTGTTCGACATACCCAATCGAAGTGCATAAGTGTAGACGCAGATAAACTACATTCAAACACAATCAAACATTTGCTCATATTCGAACACACACACGGATTCAACATCTCTTCCCAGATATAAATTTTGAGGCATACCTGCATAAAATCCGACGGTTGTTATGAAGCCGTAGTTCAACAAATGATGATAAATCAAAAACGACGAAACGGCACCTTCCATTTCGACCGCCCCCGTCGCGTGAAATCTCTGTCACTTCAGAATAGAGATTAGGGTTTCCACGAAGACGAAGAGGGAAAAAAAATTTGGACCATTTCTCGATTTGTGCGTGTCATCCTTGCGCAGGGGCCATGCTAATCTTCTCTGTATCGTTCCAATTTTATCGGATGTCCCCGAAGGGACGATTATGGCTGCTGAGCTCGACGATATAACGATACACTCAGTTCTTCATCTGGTCGATGTGGGACTAGACAGTTGACAGCATCTTGTTACATGAACTAAATAATACATTGTTTTAGTTTTTTCTCTCTTAAAAATAAACAACGCCATTCATATATACTATTTTATTTTATTTACCATTCATATAATATTTTATTATATTTCCGTCAATCAGATGAAATGCTTTTTCTCACTTAAATTTTCATTTTTCTTATACGAGATTTTATAATTTTAATATGTATTATCAAACCATACCATTACCAACTCTCAACTTTAGGTATACGGAGGTAGAGTAGGAAATTCAAAGAACTATAAGGTCTACCAACGTTATTTTTTCCATCTTATTCTATTATTTTATTTTAATGAATTATATGTATATTATTTTAACTTGTAGGGTTGCTCAATATCAATTAAAGACTATTCATACCAATAAAATGTCATCACAACAGAAAGATTGTAGTTGTTAGTGACTTATAGCCCATGTTATTACTCTCCCATATATTTGTAATTGTAATATTGTTCTTTGAAGGCAACGAAGATAATCATTCTATAATATGGTATTAGAGTTAAATCTCTCTCTCTCTCTCTCTCTCTCTCTCTAAAAAAAAAAAAAAAAAAAAAAAAAAAACTACTTCTTTACCAAATCAAAGTCTCAGAGTCATTGTCCTATACACCAACTTGACTTTAAGACTTATTTTCTTCATGAACATCTTTAAAAGACGATGCAAATGTATCATCGGTTGAAATGTCAACATTGTGCCACTTGCAAGGTCTACGAGCATGGTACATCAATTTTCCCGATATGCTTCCTGCATTAGTTTCCAACACAATTAGTCACACAAACCCTTATCTGTTTATTTATTTGGTCGTCTCGTATTATATTTATAACACATGGATGACATCATTCTCACAACATCATCCACAATCTTTTACATCATATCATTACTCAGCTTAGTCGTCATTTCTCTATGATAGACATCGATGCCCTTAATTACTTTATGTGTATCTCTTAAATCATATCATCCACATGTCTTATCTTTTCCTAATAAAAGTATGTGAATGAAATTTTAGAAAGTGTCAAGTTGCTACACTACAATCCCTATCAAACTCTATCTAAGTTGGTTCATAAGTTGGACTCTTCTGAGTCTCCAGTTGTTGACTGTAACGCCCACAAATTTAGCATATATAAATATTTATTTAATGTATACACATTATTTGAATAAATAGTACGAGTATATAATATTTTTTAGAAAACCATAATATAAAACGTATCGTCAAACGATAAAATAACATTTTTTGATAAAATAACATTTAGGATAAATGATCTAAAAAAACCTTGTTTAAGTAAAGTCCTTCACAACCAGTCTAGCTTTGAACGTGTGCACATTTTCATCAATGTCGGTCTTCTTCTTGAAGATCCATTTGCACCCTACTATCTTTCAACTAGATGCATGATCAACCAAGTCCTACATTTGATTATCATACATTGACTGAATCTCGTTATTCATTGCCTCCTTCCATTTAGCAGCCTCAAGGTTTGTCATCGTTTCCTTGTAGTTAGTTGGTTCATTCAAATTTACCAGTGTTTTATCACTGATAAACACGCCCATATCTAAAGTCATATGGAAACCATAAAAATTAGGTGGAATGCTAACTCTATCAGACCGACAAGAGGTAGGAATTGTCAATAGGCTGAACTGGGATTCCATCCTCAGGTTGAGTGCTAGTGTCATCTAAGGTTCCTTCATTGGATAACTCTTGAATCTCTTCAAGATCAGTTGTATTCCCACTATCCTCTTTAAATGTGAGCTCTCTCTAAAAAAGACTCTTATTCGAGCTACGAAGACCAAATTTTCATTAGGTCTGTAGAACAAGTATCCAAAGGATTTTTATGGGTAACCAACAAAGATACACTTCTCGAATCTAGGTTTAAGTTTGTAATGAGTTTATCGTCCCACAAGAACCTCACAACCCCAAACCTTGATAGGTGCGAGCGAGGGAGGTTTCCATGGACACATCTCATGAGTTGTTTGATGAGAATTCTAGGTTACAATAACAATGTACTTGTGAAATTTCACTTAACACTTAAGGGTACATGTAAGCTAAATTGGATCTATGTCTTTTTCACATCTAATAGAAACATACTTATGAAAAACACAAATTAAAACCATATGAATCAAAATTCATGTTCAAGAACAGATACCTTTTGTAGATCACAATCAAGGTAATCAAAATCTTGTACTCTCCTTAGAAAACCTAGCTACAATAGTGTGCAAGCCTCTAATGGTTCACACCTAAAATGTGAGAAACCTTAGGACTGAAGGAGAGAAGGGAGATAGAAGGATAATTTTGTTCTTGTTGGGTTTTAGTATACTACAACATCCTATGGTGCACATACAACCATAAATGATCTGGATCTATGTTTTCTCTAATTATACATGCACTAGTGTTTCCAAAAGCATTAAGCCTACAACTAGCATACAATTGACATAAACAACATAAAATACTAGTTAGGAGTTTGCCTCTTTATGTAGCTTGTAGAACTTGTTGTATTTGGGCTTTAAGAACTTAGTACCCCAAGTGTGATGCCTCAAACGATTCACAACACACCTAGGACAAAGGAGAACTTGAGAGAGATTACTAGGCATACAAATCGGTTATGAACTCCAAGAACACTTGTTATAATCGATTTTAGCCATGGGGTTATGTGTGTGTGTGTGTGTGTGTATATATATATATATATATATATATATATATATATATATATGTAGGAATCCAAGATTCATGGGTAAACCCTAATCCATACACTTTGGGTTATGATCCATATTTCATGTGGGATAACTCTTCATGGAAACTTACATAAGCTTAGCCCATCATGGATCAATAGCCCAAACCATATATATATATATATATATATATATATATATATATATATATATATATATATATATCATTGACTTACATAATCAGTCCCCATTAATTTAATTAGTCACTTTTGATCACTAAATTAATTCCAAATTAATTCTTGATCAATACTAATTAAATAATATGATTTCATATTAATATATTAGAACTTATAATATATTAATAAATCATAAATTATCTCTTACTATAATATCCATCCTCAAATTGTCCTGGTGATATGCAACCCGAAATCGACCATGCTACTCTCAGGTCAAGTACATACCAATTATAGTTATGGGATTAGACACCTAATCTAACAATCTCCCACTTGGATAATTCTAATAACTATTATTGCAAGTACGACTCCAAAATCCCGACTAGCAATCGTAGCTCTTAAAAGCCGATGTTGAACTCTGACCTAGTCATTGACGCGTCCATTAGATAAGGGATCATATATTCCTCCATTCTATATATCGTATAGACATAAGACATGGATTATAATCATTATAGATCTACAAAGGAATTATTGTTATTACAATATAACAATCAAGGTATGTGATCAAACCCTATTTTTATATGAATTTCGAAAATTGTAGGCACTTCCTAGGGTTTATCCTTTTGTGTTCAAGTTTGCATGCTCAATTAGAGAAAACTGGATCAAAAGCATTAAGGTTGCATGCACACATAGGAATTTTTGTTTTGCTTATAACCCATCAAGTAGAAGGTACTCCAAGGCATTTAAGTTGTCCTTTCAGAGGTTTTAAGGAGTGTTAAGTCATAAAGTTGGGTTATTGGGCACTAGTTTTCCTCTATGCAAGTCCTAGATGGTCTTAATGGGTTAAGATAATAGGGTTTTTGGTGTTAAGGACTTAATAGCCATGCTAGACCATAAAGCTGTAAACTTTATGCTTTAGAGCATCTTATGTAATCCAGATCTGAAGTTTGGATGTAGGTGCTTAAGGGATTAATCACTTATTTTAGAGGTTGGCAAGCAGCCTTGTACGTAGGACATGCCGAAGGGTACACTGAGCATACGAGGTCAACACCCCAATCCTCGGTCAACTACGAGGTACGCCCCACGTACTGACTGTATCAACCTGATTGAGTTGGATCTGGAATTTGACTAGGGTTTGACCTAGGGTTATTTTGGGTATTGAATGGTTGTTTGAGTTTTGGTTACTGTTGTTCGTGAAGGTGACTGGCAGTAAGGATTTCGGAGAAACATGTCAGTTCAACTTTTCGTTTATCTATGAGGTGAGTCTTCCTACCAACTTAAGTAGGTCGAAGGCACCGATGTCGAACCATTGTATTTTGTGAGTGAACTATATGTTATCGTATGATTCTGTTTGTGTGCTTGCATGATTTATGTATTGAACTATATGGGCTCGAAGTCATTACAGACTCGGGGTTGATACAAACCCGGGGGTTGATTCGGACTCGACACAACCATATGTTGTTATTTTAGGTTGATACGGACTTGGGGGTTAATACAGACCTTACAAAACCACGTGTTGTTATTTGATATGTATGATGTTTGTGGTAATTTGGGAAGCTCACTAAGTTTTATGCTTACAGTTTATGTTTATGGTTTTAGGTACTCCCAGTTCAAAAAGGGCTTGACGTGATGACACAACATCCCCCTACATGTTTTCCACATTTGATGTATTTTGTATTCTGATGTTTTAGAGTATTGTAATGAATGATGGCTTTTGATACAATCAATGAATGAAAACTAATGGCTTTTAAATGAAAAGTTTTAGTACTGTTTTTGGGTTGGTACAAGTTGGTATCAGAGCATTGGTTTGAGGGAGTCACGCATTCTCTCGTGTGTGTCAGAACTTAAACTGAGGAAATGATATTTTTCTTTAATAACAATGATTTTAAAAAAAGGTTTATTTAAGAAAAAAGGGGTGTGATACATACGTTCGGCTGAGCTCAAGTAAGTGGTTCTCAAATTACCCAACTTATGTTTTATAAGTAGTATTCTTGATATGAGAACACAATGCTAGAGTAGGCTAGGGATACATTCAGGAATTGTATGATAAAATTGTCTGATTTGTGTGATGCATTATAGCCTAATTGAACTTAATGCCATGTATTATTTAGAATTGATACCGACTCTATTATTTGCTAAATGTATGCTTTCAAAGTTGTATACGATTAGGATTGTATAGCCCTAAAGACCTCATTTTCTGTTCCTTGTTTGGTTGTAGACTTAGGGTATAATCATCGTTTGACAGTCTATGTGATCATGCTTTGTGTATAACTTGCATGCATAAGGCAACCAACGATGTTGATTGAGGTTATTGGTATTGCGAGTGGTGAGGGTTGGGAATTCCTAGTAGAGTCTAGGATATGTATGCGGTATAACATAGGATCAACTTATTGCTTTGATGTGATGACTTAGAAGAATCAGGACTGACCTGGAGGAAGGTACAAGTAGGTATGAAAGGTAGTATTGGGCCCGTACTACTAGAAGCACAAGACCTATACCTGAGACTAGTGCAACTCTGGAAACTCTAAGAAGGCCTGTGTAGAAGAGTCCCCTTGGGTCGTTTGTTGATTGTTTTATGTTGTGTTTCAGTTTGGAGTATGGTGATGATTACTCGAGGAGGTTCCGACTTTGGTTTTGGATCAGGTTCTGGCTCAGACACAAAACCAGTTAATGTTTGTTTGCACAAGTTCATTTCGGTTGAGGTTACTCGCGGTATTCTGGACACTACCCCTATGCTGTTTGGTACCATAAATGAGGGGATTATGGAGCTTATGGACGCGAGGCTTAAGACTTTACAAGCCGAGATTGTTATGTGTCAGATTGGAGCTCGAGATCCCTCATTTTAGGAGTTCAAGGCCTATGGAGCTCCTGAGGTCTTTGGGGCTAAGAACCCCATCACTAGTCATCACTGGATCGTTGACATGGAGAATGCCCAGTGGACGAGCTTTTGCCTTGAGGGGGAAAATGTGTGATTTACATCCTGCCTGTTGAAGACAAAACACGAGACCGGTGGGAAATGGGAGCGGTGAAGGGCGATCAGAACGAGAATACGAGAACAGATCTTTAAGGTGGGAGAAAAAAGACGAGAACATATTTGTAGGTGGGTGTGAATTGATTAGGTTAGTTTTAAAGGCATTAATGTAATTAACTAATTTTTTTTCAGATTAAAAATTCGTAAAAATATACGAAAGGATGTATTTTGTCAAACCAATTTTTTTTTCTTACTAAAAAAACTTTTTAATTTACCAAATAACTTTCGAAACATTTTGATTTTTTGAAGAAGTTAAAGTTCTTTATTTATTTATTATTATTATTATTATTTGACTTTTTGAAGAAAAAATCGTTTGAAAAGAACTAATTCTTTGTAAAGAATCGTCTCCCAAGTGAAATTTACACCTACGATTGTACTTATTAATTGTTGTATTTCACCAACCTCACTTCTTCACTTGGACATAAAAACAATGACAGAGTAGCCGCTTTCTTGGATTGTATCCAACGCCCAATTACCATTTCCTCAAAATCAACGAAGTGTTTTCAATTTTTCTCAAATGGGTTTCTACGAATTCCGTTTCTTTCAAATGGGGTTCCTGTAGATTTCAAGTTTGAGTTAAGAATATATTGCCTCTAAGAATGGCAGTCAAAGTTTCTTCATCATTTTCCTGCGTTTCCACATCTTTCTTTGCTTCATTCCCGTTCAGAAGAACTCTCCAGGTACAAATATTAAGTAATTCAAGCACCTTAGTTGATTTGTTTATGTACCCTTCAATTTGCTAGCGTACTACGTTTTCCGTTATACGAAAGTCCTGTCTAGGGTTTATGACGAGTGCGGTTTCAAACTCAGAGATTCATTTCGATTCTCCAAACAAATAAGTTTATCAACTATTTAGAATTATATGAATACTGGGTTTAAATCGCGATGGGTTTATGCAACTAAAATAAAATAAATCTGTTTCAATTTTGAATTTTAGGTTCGCATCTCTAATTCGTTTGGTTTTTGTCTTTCTTCTTTGCTTTTTTGTTATTCATACCATCCACATTCATTCTTTATGTTCTTTCTATCCTGCTAGATTTGCTGGTGTTTAAAATATACTCAAATCTTTTATTTAGGTTCATCATCCCGATTTTAGTGTTAATGCTTTGTGCTGCAATTGCAGTTCCAATAAGATGCTTATTAGATGTAATGTATGTTACTTTATGGCAACAAGTTTATGTGTACATCATGTAAAAATAATGACATAAGCCTATGTTAGTTTATTAGTTTAACCAAGGAACATTAATGCCCTGTTTTTTCCTTCCCATTAACTCATGTCTGGATAAATCATGTTTTAGGAAACTGATGTTACACCAATGGAAACGATAGAAAATATAAATGAATGTAAATTTGTAAAAAGTTAGAACTTAATGAAGAAAACCTCATTTCCTTGACTTTCTCTATCAAGTCATTTTTTTTACATCAAGTAAAAAAGAAACACCCATATATAGCTCAAGGGATCAAGTCATATCCCTATTAAGTCTATTAAGTCAAAAGATACAACACCAAACATTTTTTTTATAGTTTCATTCATGTTTTCATAAACTTTATTCTTCTTTAGTTGTTTTGCACGGGTGTGTGCTTGTGTACAACATTCTTGTTAATCATGTTATATATATATAATATATATCATATTGCCCTATTTTCTTTGGTTTGACGTAAAGGTTAACATTTTCTATTTTCTTTGGGAAAACGATGAGTTTTTACCTTTTCTTTAACATGAATGGTGTCATTTTTTACTTAATAAGATCAGACATTCTTCGTATGTTTTTATGTGTAGTTTGTGGACTTGAGTATTTGCTTAGAATGTGTCGTAAGTTAATTAAATAGCTATTTCTTTATTTTGTGTCATTACTTTTGTCATTATTATCACATCTCTATATTCCTAATTTCCCATAAAAGTTATTTTTGTTCCTTTAGTAATTTAGCAACTTGTGTTCTCAGGTCAGCTTGCCTCCAAGATTACATGATTGTAGGCAACTGAAAACCAAAGGTGCGTTTGTAACTTGTTACTTGATTTCTTCATTTTTTCCTGACAAAAAGGATTAGGGGGTGTTTGGTTCACCTGATTCCTTAGGAATTGGTCGGAATTGGAATTCCATTCCATTCTGGTGTTTTGGTAGCAGATGACTACAGAAATGCATTCCGTTGGAATTCACAAAATCTTACTAGTGATGGAATTTAACGTTCCTTCCATAAACTCATGAAGTTCAATTCACTTCCTCGGTTCCTCATTTCTATAAATGACCGAAATACCCTTTCTAAACTCTATGTTTAACATTTCAGTATGTTTTGGTTCCTTCTTTTTACGACGTGTCAATAATAATCTGTTACTAATGTGTATAATTCACAAAACCAAACACCCCTACATCCATTTCTTTTGAAGGGCATTTGCCATTTTAATTTCTATTTTTGTTCAAAACCAGTTTCTCGTTTGTGTATACAGATTCTAGTTTTACGCCTTGTTTTAAAATTATGCTTTGCAGTTAATACAAATACAAGATGTTCCATAAACGGAAGGTTGAACATGAACCAAAGGTTCCCAAAAAGACGCTTTATATTCTTTGCCTCTGTGGAGGATCTGATCTCAGGAAGCAATGATATTGATTCAGACGATGGAACAGATGAAGAAGATGATGATCTTTTGATTGAAGATGAAGCATCTAAAAGACTTGAAAGAAGTGGAGGAAAGCCGGGTCTTATCTCCTTTTATAACCACCCATACAAAAAAAATGAACCTGAAATTCTTGTATCCACACCCACAATCTCAACTTCGGGTCAAACAAAACTCTACTGGTTTGTGGGTCCCGCTGTTCTTGTAGCCTCTTTCATTTTCCCATCTCTTTATATGCGAAAGATCCTGTCTACTGTTTTTGAGGACTCTCTGTTGACAGGTATAATTTCTATAAACCCCGTTTAAGAAAGACCCTGTTTCAGTGTTTATTTTTATTTTTTATTTTTCTTATTAAGTGTTGTCTGGACAAATAATGTTTAAAGAATATTTTAGGTTTTGAGATGAATATTTATTGTTATTTGCAGATTTCCTTATATTATTCTTCACGGAAGCTCTATTCTATTGTGGGGTAGCCGTATTCCTTTTGATAGTGGACAATTTACGCAGGCCTACCGAGCCAATGAACGCCAAAAACCGTGTGATTCCACCTCCTCAATTGGTTTACAGAATCACTTCAGTGGCTGCATTGGTACTCAGTCTCATGATTCCAATGGTCACAATGGGTTTAGTTTGGCCGTGGACAGGTCCAGCGGCTTCCGCTACACTTGCGCCCTATCTTGTTGGCATTGTTGTGCAGTTTGCATTCGAACAGTATGCAAGATACATCAAGTCACCTTCATGGCCTCTCATTCCCGTTATCTTTCAAGTAATTAACCTTAATCAATAACCACATGTTTTTATGATTTTGTTTCTACAAGGTTTTTATGATTTTGTTTGTACAAGGTTTTTATGATTTTTGTATTGTGCAGGTGTATAGATTGCATCAGTTGAATCGTGCAGCACAGCTTGTGACTGCATTGTCCTTGACTGTTATAAGGGCTGAGTCAACACCACATAATTTGGCTATAAATGGTTCGTTGGGTATGCTGTTGAATGTTCTTCAGTGCCTTGGGGTGATTTGCATATGGTCTCTTTCCAGCTTTCTTATGCGGTTTTTACCTTCTGCTACTATAACTGAACAGTGAGTCTACAAAAAAATAACAGTTTAATTGTTCATGTAGGTTGTTACAGATACTACATATTTTATTTTTTAGAGTGTTTTAGTAACTGGAATTTTTCTGTTGTAAATATGAAAGAAGCAGAATTCTGCTGAATAGTTGGAATTTTTATGCAGACGTAAAAGCTCGAAAGACATTTTATTACCATGGCTCGTTTGTTATGCATATGTCTGGACATGACAAAACATGTTGTATTGCATTTGTTGTGTATAAGGGGGTCTTACGAATGAACAGATTGACTATGAAAGACAGAATTTGGCTCTAGTAGTAACACCAGGGTCAAAACCTATAAAAAAAAAATACTACGAACCAATTAAAATGGATGCAGTTGTTACTTTTTTAATATTTATAATAAAACAACTATTTTGTTTTTTAAATGTAACGTTATTTCTTGCGAAATAATAATGAAAAAAGATTTTTTTTTTTCGATTATCAAAGATTTCTATAGATGATTATTATTAGAGAATTCTATGTAAAAAAATATTTCACTAAGTCTGTTTTGCAAAATGTAAAGTTATTCTATGACAACTATTCAAATATAATTTTTGTGATGATATCCAATCCATTTTGGTTATTTTAGTGGCTAACCTATAAAAAAAACAAACACTTTTCCGTTCTAATAGCAATACATTATACAACAACAAAACCTTCGCAATCTAAAGTTTTCAAAAGTTGATATTGTTAATCGCTAAATTCTATACATTGGTGACATCAAGATTATAATTTTTTGTATAAAATTGAAACTTTAAAGAAGACATAACATTATTTTGATTGACCAAATTACAATGTAAGTTAAATAATTTCAGCGCTTTTCTTTGAGTAAATTACACGAATGGTCCCTATGGTTTGGGGTAATTTGCACGTTTGATCCCTAACTTACTTTTTTAACTCGGAAGGTTCTTACTGTTTGTTTTTTTTACGTGTTTGGTCCCTTCTATTTGTTTTTGTTACGCGCTTGGTCCCTATCTTACCTAAAAAGATTATTATTTGATTAGAGAAAGATGATGGGATAGGTAGGGTAAGGTGAGTGCAGTGAGGTTGCGAGTGTGTTTATTTAAATAAATTAAAAAATCAAGGGCAAAATAGTCTTTTTAGGTAAGATAGGGACCAAGCGTGTAACAAAAACAAACAGTAGGTACCTTCCGAGTTAAAAAAATAAGTTAGGGACCAAACGTACAAATTACCCTAAACCATAGGGACCATTCGTGTAATTTACTCCTTTTCTTTTAAAGAAAAAAAAAAACTTAAATAATGTATTATGGTAAATTAGTTCATGTAACGACATGGGTGTCGACTGTCTAGTCCCATATTGACCAAATGAAGAACTGAGTGTAGCGTTATATAGTCGAGCTCAGTACCTATAATCGTCCCTTCGGGGACATCCGATAAAATTGGAACGATACAGAGAAGATTAGCATGGCCCCTGCGCAAGGTTGACACGCACAAATCGAGAAATGGTCCAAATTTTTTTTTCGCCTTCTTCGACTTCGCAGAAACCCTAATCCCTATTTGGAAGTGACAGCGATTTTATGCGACGAGGGCGGTCGAAATGGATCATTTGTTGAACTACGGCTTCATAACTATCGTCGGATTTTATGGAGGTATGCATCAAAATTTATATTTGCGAAGAGATGTTGAATCCGTGTGTGTGTGTTCGAATATGAGCAAATGTTTGATTGTGTTTGAACTTCAGTTCTGTAGTTTATTTGTGTCTACACTTATGCACTTCGATTGGGGTATGTCGAACAAGTTTTATCAAGTAAACTGCAAGTTAGAGATGTTGAATCCGTGTGTGTGTGTTCGAATATGAGCAAATGTTTGATTGTGTTTGAACTTCAGTTCTGTAGTTTATTTGTGTCTACACTTATGCACTTCGATTGGGGTATGTCGAACAAGTTTTATCAAGTAAACTGCAAGTTATGATGATGGACTTTTGTGAGTTTTAAGCTGTTATAGTGTTAGTAAGGATGGTCGATCTATTAGCCATAGTAATCTTAAATGATGGTTTTTTGTGATCAAAGCAGTCTTACCATTGATGATTTTCTGCCCTGCTTTTGATCATTATTGGAGTATCAAAACTCATATTCATTTTGATGTCTTGAAGCAAATAAGTTTACCCAACATTTATGATTATATGAATTTATGGTTTAAATTGCAATAGGTTTATGAAACTAAAATCAAATAAGTTTGTCAGTTTTGAATTCTAGGTTTGCATCTGTAATTCCTCTAGTTTTTAGTCTCTGTAGATTAGTACCAATGTAGATTGATTTCATTTATTCAGATCATCTATATTAACCCTTTATGCTCTTTCTGTTATGCTATATTCGCTAGGGTTTAAAATGTACCCAGATCATAGTTATGTTCTTCTATTTTGGTCCATCATCCTGATTTTAGTTGGAGTTCAGTGTTAATGCTTTGTGGTGCAATTGCAATTACAATAAGATGCTTATTATGATTGCAGGCGACTGAATACCCAAGGTGCATTTCTAACTTTTCTCTTCTAGATTTTCTTTATTTTTGTCTGGAAAAAAGGACTACGGGGAGTTTGCATTGCCTGATTCCTTTGGAATTGGCCAGAATTGGAATTCAGTTCCATTCCATTCCGGCATTGGTTGCAAATGAGTATGATATCAAATTCATCTGGAACTCACAAAATACTACCAATGAAAGGAATTCAACTTTCCTTCCCTAAACTCAAATAATTCAATTCAATCCTCCTCATTTTTAGAAATGACTGAAGTACCCTTTCTAAACTCTAGTATTAACATTGTAGTATGTTAAATCCATAATTTATTATTTGTCTTTTGTTCCTAATTTGTTGCCCCTTGTGGATAAATTTTGTTACCAATATGTATAATTTACCTTTTTTTTTAATCGAAATAAGTTTAAGAAAAGTCTTGTGTATGAGAAATTAGTAAAAAGGATAATTTCGATAAGTTTTATGAACCATTCCAATTATTTAAAGGAATGGAATTGGATTCCCTTTCATTTTCCTTCCCGCATGACAAATTTCAGTTCATCCATGTTCCAGTTCCTTTGAGAGAATTCAATTTCTTCCAAATCATTATGCGAACTAGAAAAATTCTAGTTTTACGAATTGATGTTTCTGTTTGTTCGATTGTTAAAATTGATGACTATGGTGATGGTGATGGTGATAATTGCTTTTTTGAGTGTTAGATTTTGATAAAATGCTCATATACTCATATTCAAACAGTTTATTTAGTCCAAAAAAGTAACAGTCTTTTTTGCATTCAACAAAGAAATCATTTATCCATTCAACACAACATCCGCTACACCTTCATGGCCTCTCATTCTTGTCATCTTTCAAATACATGCATGTTTCTGAAATTGTTGTTTGAGCCCATGTTTGTTACACATGACATAACAAATTGGGTGTGAAAGCTTTGTGATTTTATTTGATAAATGAAGTGAATGTGAAGCTGATACGAGAAGGAGCATTAATTCAAGATAAAAGTTGGAAGACTTGTGGCTTACGTAGGCTGTATTCCTACTAGTTACTCCGGATCCAATATTTTTGAAGTCTTTAGAAACTGCAAAATTTGTTTTGTAAATATGAAAGAAACAACGTTGGGCTGTATAGTTGGAATATATATGCAAACATTTTATTGCTAGGGGCCAAGTGTTTTGTAAATATGAAACAATCAATCCTTAAAGTCTTTTAAGAACCGCAATCATTTTTGTTATAAAGTTTTACTTGTAAGAATGATCTTAAATCGGTCAAGTTACTCAAAGGATTAGAATAGTAATTTGACCACGTAAAATACATCAAAATAGATTAGGAAAGTAAATGTAGAAATTGATGTTGGAAAACCTTAATTTAACTTTAGCACCACTAAGATGAGGGTCATTATCTATAAAAAGAGAAAAGTTTTTAATAGTTCTTTACTTCTTTCGAGTTTTCCACTCTAATTCCAAATTTGTAATACGACTTTCGCATATCTAATGTTTTTGAAGGTTGATTTTTTTAATGGTATATTTTATAACATAGATCAAATATAAAAATTATTGTACAAAAAAGATGAAATTTTTTATGTGTGAGAGAGCGTTTAATTTGGTTGACCAAGGCAAGTAAAGAAAAAGGAACGTTTTCAAAAGAAAAGATAAATAGTATATTAGTTCATGTAACGAGATGCTGTCGAGTGTCTAGTCCCACATTGACCAGATGAAGAACTGAGTGTATCGTTATATGGTCGAGCTCAGCAGCTATAATCGTCCCTTCGGGGACATCCGATAAAATTGGAACGATACAGAGAAGATTAGCATGGCCCCTGCGCAAGGATGACACGCACAAATCGAGAAATGGTCCAAATTTTTTTTCATACCTGTTCTCGTCTTCGCCGGAACCCTAATCCCTATTCGGACGGACGTGACAGCGATTTCAAGCGACAGGGTGCGGTTTGGAAGGCTTTTTGTTAATTATCTTCTTTTATTAACCACGGCTTCATATTGACGTGCATGTAACGACCGGATTTCGAGGAGGTATCCATCAAACTTGAATCTTGGAAAGTCAGCCATATTGAATCTGTGTGCATTCGAGTATGAACTAAATTTTAATTGTGCTTCCTTAGTTTATTTGTGTTTACACTTACTTATGCACTTGGATTGGGGTTTCTGCCTTTCTGGAATAAGTTTTATGAATTAACGTACTGTTAGTTAGGGGAATTTGAAGATGTTTTTATCAAGTACACAGCAAATTATGATGATGGATTTTAAGGTGGATGGTGTTTGTATTAGCCAATAGCCATATTAATCTGAGACCATGGTGTTTTGTGACTAAAAGAGTAACTTTGTAGCCATTGGGAGAATTTTGGCTTTTCATGTCTATTGTGGCTCCAAGATTCTTTTCTTTTACTGTATGTAACTACATATATATATTGTATGTTTTGCCATGGAACGGATATTGTCTGGTTTGGTTATTTGTCTTTTATTACACACAAGTGTGGGTTCAAATGTAGGTTCATATTTTATTTCTTGAAGCAGATAAGTTTATCCATCATTTATAATTATATGAATTTAGATGAGATTTATTTCTCTAATTGTTGGAATGTGATATCAGTCGAACCCCTTGGTAGAATAAGATAAATGTAAGTGTATAGACATTGACACGATGGTCACTCAAGTCTGTTGTCTTATCTAACTTCTTCACAAATCAAGAAACAGAAATTGAACATCAAACAAAGAGAAACTTAGACGACGATGCAATCACCATTAAATAGTTAATGGAAGCATTGTAGAGACACCATCATCTCCGTTTTTATAGTTTATTTGATTTCCCTAATTTTCCCATCTTGACCACCTTCAAATTCTAACTCAACATCTCTTTGTTGCATTTTGTACACCAAAACTGCTATCAAGGGCAGGTATCCCGGACATAGTTGCTTGCAAGGTTGACTTGTGACTCGGTTTCAGTGACTTCACCAAATTAATAACAATAAACACCAAAAAAAACAAGAAATATGAGTGTTTAAATGGCAATAAGTTTAGGGTATATAAATTTGTGTCAGAGTCAGAGGTTTGCATAGTTTTTAGTCTTTTTAGATGATGAGTAGGTTGTTTTTTGGTTATTCAGATTAGGCATGTTAACACTTTATGTTGTTTTGATTCAAATGGACAATTCGGTTTAGGTTTATCCAAACAGTGAACAACCTTACATATAACAAACAGGCCCTCAAAGAATCTTTCCGGAAATGGTAAAAACAAATATTACCAAATCTATTGCTTCCTGTATCTGTATGCCTAGGTTAGCCAAAATAAACCATTACATGAAACAAAAGACTCAAAAAAAAAAAAAAAAACACGTGTTCAACCTATATGATCTTGGTCATCTTCAAAAACCCAACAGTTCTGCGATAAGACCACATTGATTCAACAAACTCCATACACATATCCCCAAACCATTCCTGAAACTCTTTCCACATTCTTTTGGACTCATCTTTGTAGTCTAAGTTCCTAAAGTACACAAATTGTTGCCATAAATGAATTCTTCCATGACCAAAGTTGTTTACTAATTTGACTGATTGCTTGAAGCTGAAAACATAGAGCGAGTATATCACATGGACTATCTTGATGTAAAGAGCAAGGAGTAAAGGTCCACCAATCCACAAAGGGATCAACTCCTTTGTAACATGAGCACCATACTTTATGTTCACTGTAAGGAACAGGGGTATGCTGCAAATCAAGCATAATAAATGTGCATTAAAACCAAAATAAGATGCCCTGCTGAGGAATGAAATTTACAAAATGAAAGGAATAGAATGGAATGGAATGAATCATTCCACTCCTTCCTCGATTCCATCACACCAAACACTACCTTAGTAGTGTGTTGGATTATTAAAAAGGTGTGAAAACACTTAACAACCTATTAACCTACAATGTTTTTCTGGAATATATTAGATACAGGTTACTTACAATATTATCATGGGGATCTTTATTTTTGCATCCAAACTCAAAAAATTGCACCATATCCTCTTTAAAATCCCACATTTCATGATCTCATGGTCTGTTTCCACTCTTTCATTACAGGAATGCCCTTCTAATGTACGATCTTGACTTGGTGAAGATGTGGGCAATGATGTCAAACCTCCATTTGAGGAGATGTATGGACTTTTTGCCCATTTTGACCCTCTCACTCTGTCTAAGTATTCATCACCTTGATTACTACTTTCAAAAGATGATACTCTTAGAGATTTCCGCTTTGATCCATGGATAAAAGATGGGCCCACACTGTTAAGATATAAGGTTATATCTATCTTCTGAAATGTGCAAAATGCCTTTGAATTTTGGGTCAATTTGGTCCCTTTCTTCCAAGAAGGCCTTGATGGAGCATATACATCCTTGAAAGATAATAAAGATCTATCAAAACTCCATACAAATTTAAGGGTAAATGTGATCAAATTATATGGTGTTTGGCAACCTGGGGGGAGATAATCGAATTGTATAGTGTTTGGCAAAAGTGATTATAATTCTGATTTTTTAGGGTAAATGTATTAGAATCTTTGAAATTATATGCCTACTTTTGTTCAAAATGATTGTCTAATTATGATTCTAGAAGTCGTGGTGATCAATTTGAACAAATAGATCCAACTACACCCTTAATACATAAATACAATAACAAAATTTTGGGCATTTTTTCTACCTGAACCTGATGGGTCACTAAGGCCATTATTCCCTTTGACAGCACCCGATCACTTACGCATCCACATTACAGATAACAGCTGAAGCAAATGTTTTAGTCAATCATCTATTAGGGCACAAAACTCAACAAAAGAATTTAGACAAAGTACTTGAGAAATTCACCTATTCAGAGGAAGAAAACTGCTCTTGTTTGAATCTCCAAAATGTACTTACAAAATCCACATATTCATCTGTTGCTCATAAATCAAACATGGTAAATTGGAACAAAACGATGAATTCCAAAGGTTAAAAAGAATCGACAACTGCGATTAACATGAATGTAAAAGTAAGAGCATTAGCAAACGAAAAGGTATGAGTTTGGGAACTGGGATCGAATGGATCAATGGAGGCACAAAATGTGACAGGTAAATGGAACTCGAAAGAAGTGAAGACGATAGAGAGTGAGAGAAAGAGATATAATTCATGTCGGTGAAGGTTATCAGGATAACGATGGCACAAAGGCGGTTTGATTGGATTTTGAGAGATCACAGATTCATACAAGACTCAAATTGATTTTTTTTTTTTTTTTTTTTTTTTTTTTTGGGCTCTCAAAAACGTAGTCAGTTATTCAAAGTAGTTGAATATATCATTTAATATGGATCACCTGGATTACCTAAAAAAAATTAAATATCAGTTAAATATTTCAAATAATTTGTGCTACTTGTGGATTTTGGCTATTGTCAAGCTACTTCTTAATTGTGTGACTTATATCTATAGAACGAGATTAATAATGCATGTTTATATGGGTTTTGCAAGGGCCCGATTGACTAGAACAAATCATTAAACGTTATTTTTATCTGATCTCATCCAGAAATCAAACTAAACTTAATAACTTAGATATCAAATAAAATCGTTAAAATAGAATCATCAACAATCTCGTTATCATTCATTTAAAATAATTTTACAATAATTAAGTTATGTTTGATATGCAATAATAAAAAAATACAAAGCCCAAATGGGAAATAAAGCCTTGTTGGCTTGTTCTGCACAAACCCAATAGCATTAGCATATGGGCTCAACACTACGATTAAAGACGTTATTGAGTAAGTTTGCAAATTTTAGTTGTAGCTATGGTGCCAAAAATATCCAACCCAGATAATCCAATCCAATTGAGTGGAGTGGCTCGACAACATTTGTATGGAAGATGATGTGGCCTCGGCAACACTGTGTTTGATATGGTAAGGTTTTGTGTCATCTCTTCACTTTCTTACGTTTTTTTTTCCTTAGCAAACACTTGACGAATGCGATGGATAACGTGGAATTCCGCACCACTCCCTTGTATCCAATGTTTTAAAACTCGGGTTTTTAGTTGACCCGGTGTGATGACCGGTTCATGGGTCAACCGGTTCAACCGGTTGAACCGCCGGGTCAACCCGGTTTATGGGATTGAGCTTACAATGGTTCTTCTTCCTTTGATTCCATATCTAACTGCATTGAAAAATAATGTTATAATCAATAAACATATGTCAATTGGATCCTAATTACATAATCTACACAATCAAAACCTTGAAACAAACTATAAACTAACCAAATATGTCACAATCAAAACCTTGAAACAATGATAATTAACAATAAATGAACTGTAAACTAACAAAATCTATCACCTGTTGCAAAAGAAAACATGTTTCATACGAAAAGCTAATCAGAAGCCATAGAAGAAAATAACCTGATTTAAAAGTCAACTGTAGATGAAAAGAAAATTGGGAAAGAAAATAAAACAAATCTATCACCTGATTCAAAAGAAAACTAATTTCATAACAACAGCTAATCAAAATTGGATGATTGGACGCAAGTTGTAAGTGAATTAGTAATAGAGGGGGAATTGGGGTTTCGATGGAGAAGGAACAGCCAATAGGAACATCACTCATTGTAGCAGGAAAAAAAGAAAGGAAGTCGTTTTGCAGGAAAAAAACTCACCTGGAGAAGAACGGAAGTAGCTGGCTCGTTGCTGAGGTCGTTGCTTTGCAGTCGCTGTTGCTTTCTTTCTTCAGTCGTTGCTTTCGTTTCCTAGAGAAGAGAAGAACTGAGTTTGTTTTGCGGCCTGGAGCGATACTGACTTAATTATCCAAGCCCTAATAAACGGGTCAATCCGGTTTTTACCGGTTCAAAATACCCGGTTCAACCGCGGTTTAGGTTAAACCCGGCCGGTTCAATCCGGTCGGTATTTTTACAAAAACCCGGTCTCAATTGACCCGTCTTCTATCCCGGGTCACGGTCCAACCGGTTCAACCGGCCAGGTCGACCCGGGTTTTAAAACATTGCTTGTATCTTTTCTTTTTCTTTGAACAGTCACGTTTTTGTAAATAGAAACTAGTAAGAAGGTAGAGAAAAAACTAAATACAAAAAGTTATAAAAATAGGTTTTTATAACCAATGGTTCCAAGATATACCACTCCTTTGTATGTAACTAAATTAAACCACAAGTTTTGAACCATTTGACATTGTTGTAGGGAGACAAAGAGACTGAATATATTTTTTTCTAGGATTTCACATATTGTAGGTACTTTAGTTATGTTCTCGAACTTTCTTCTATTTACACCCAACTTCTTCCGGTGTCCTTACTAATCGGCGCTTAGACTATCACCATTGGTGATCTTTTAGGACTAGCTGGCCAAAAAAAAAAAAACATATTTGGTGATCTAGGTTGCCCTAACGAGTCGCTCATCAAAAGACTCACCAAAAGATTTGTGTATTTTTATCTGTTTATGTTGTCAAGTCTCCCTTTTAGATACTTTTATATTTAATTCTAATTTAGTTAATAACTACATTTAATACTTGTGGTAAAAAATCAAACAAAATATACTAAAATATATAATTTTTTTTCTACAAAACAAGACCAATATTAAAATATATTTTTTAATATAAAGTTGGGTTGTTTTGGATTGCTAAATAGTGTGAATAATTGAATTGAATTGGGTTGTATAGGTAAAGGAAAGATAAATTAATTTTTTTATTAAAAAATTGAAGGGTTGGATTGCAAATATTGATAGTTCTAATATTTCGGAGTTCAAAATATACCATGCTTTTTAGCAATTTAAAATAAAGCATGATTAATTCTAGGGAAAATGACGGCCATACTATGTATTCCGGTTTTACCCTTTCAATCCTTAAAATTTTTTATACACCTTTTAAGGGAACAAACTGTTTTTTGTCGGGTTAATTTGGTTATTTTTGACAAAATGAAAGGGTAACCCGGTTATCCTTTTGCCACATAGTTGTGTTTCTTGATTTTACAAAGTTAAACTTTCCAGAGTCAAACCTAAAGTCTCTCTCTCTCTCTCTCTCTCTATATATATATATATATATATATATATATATATATATATATATATATATATATATATATATATATATATATATGTATGTATCCAAAGAAAAACACAAGACCCATCCATTTCTCACTTTCTCTTCCCCCCTCACCCACCATTATGCCATCATCCACCACTTGTTTGAAAGAAGGTTTAAGAGAAAGGGTTTGCTCAACCCAAACACCGTTTGCAAAAGATAAACGAGGGCCACCACTTTGGCTACCGTCGGCGAAGACCAAGGACACAAGCTGCGAAGAAAGAGAGTTGAGGTCATCAATGGATTTTGTTTTGAAAAAATATAGCAACTGATCAAGTGTTGGCCATTAGAACCAACGACAACTAGGCTGGGGACGCCATGGATTGAAAAGGGAGAAAATACAATGTTGGAGTTTGGGGATTTCTTGGAGAGGAGGTGGTTTGCGAGTGTTATTGAGACATGGGTTTGGTTGGTGATTGATTGTTGGATATCCATTTCTGTCTTTGGGATTAAAATTGAAAAAGATTGAATCGATGGATAAAATGGTGATGTCAGAAGATTTAAAGGTGGATGTTTTGGCATTTTAGTAACACTATAGGAAAGACCCTGGCGCCGCTTGACAATGGTTTCGACACTAACACCTTCGACTTTTATGGAACTAAGTTTGGTTTGGAAATCGACTTGATTAGAAGCAGGTGGTGTTTACATTGTTCACAATCATATGTATTTAAGTCAACCAATCATTTACATCAGCTTTAAGTGCATGTAACTTTGTATATTACGGAGTGATAAAAAAAAGGTTGATATCAACTTAGTTCCCTTAAAAGACAAAAAAAAAAAAAAAATCCTTTAAGAACTAAAAGAGTAAAATCAAAATACATAATAAGACCGTTGCGTAATTTTTCCTTAATTTTACAAGTATCATTTCCATCTAACATATTAGTTCACATTTAGGTTATAAATGATAAATTAAAACCTAGAAACTTAGGATCACATGTTTCAATATGACTATATGTAGTAGTGATATCCACAAAAAATGTTAAATTAAATTACTAATAAAACTCAGTTATATTTGAGAATTGAATTGCGTAAAAATAGTTATTATAGAAAAATTATAGCATAAAATCAATAGAAGTGGAAAAGTAGAAAATCTATTAGATTATGGAACTTTTGAAGATTTGATTCTTATAAAGATAAATATATCTAGATGAATGTTTATTTGTGAAAGTTTCTTTTAAATGTAAAAATTCTATAACATTATTCGGGTGTAAGATACATTTCATTCGGATATATAATATATTTTAATATCTTAATATAATGTAAGAGCAACCACATCGCATGTTGCAATAGTGTTGCAAATGAATTTCAATTGTCATCTCAGTTTAAATCTTTCAACTTATGAAAGTCTTGCAAATGAAAATATGGGCTCCACCACTAACTCCATTTTCTGCTGTGGTACTATTTCCTCTCTTTGATAAACGAGTTATTGTTATATATGTAATTATAATTATATTATTAAAATGTAGTATCTAAGTTATTGTTATGTAATTATAGTCGTATTGTTAAAACCTAAAGATAATTAACTAGGTATGTATAACTTTTATTAACTAATTAACAATTTAATATGTTAATATTAATGATTAAATGAATATTTTAAATTTCTAAATTTCTAATGATTAAATATTTATAAAGTGATAAATAAGGTGTCACTGGGACTATTTTTGAAAGATGAGTTTTTATTGTATTAATATGAGTAGTTATTGGAAAACTGATGTGACACTGAAAAAATTAATGATATTACACTGATGTGGATCACCTAAGGTTTGAGGGAGTGGTGCGGTAGAGGGAGCGCGGTTTTGCCACATAAGCAGTGAACACCTCCCCCAGGGTGCGGTTTGGGTGCGGTTCGAACCGCAGTGCGGCAAAAAATGATTGCAGCTTGTGATTGGGTGGATATAATTTGACTAGCTTGTAATTGGTTGGGGAGAAATTAAAGTTTTTATTTAAATTAATTTTTCTTTTAAAAATAAAGTGTGGCACCACTCCTTGGGTGTGACAAAGAACCGCACTTTTGTGGTAAAAATGACGTGACGCTTACGTGACAACGAAGGGAGTGCGGTTTCGGTGGCACGACACCCTCCAGCCTAAGTCCATTTATTTTACAATGATAGCTTCTGAGAGTGGTTTGGTTTTTCCAAGAAATAATAGATGTACATGAATAATACAATTGAACGCTTCACAATAAAAAAATGGTCTAGAAATAATCTTAAATATACTGCAATACGAAACATAATCAAACAAGTTCAATAAATAAAGTTGCTTCTGAATGAAACCCGACATCTTCAAGGGTCATACTTCCCTTATCAACACCGTAAACCTTTCTAGGAAAACTTGATACGAGTCTATAGTTTTCACCAACTCCCGGTATGCCTAGTGAATCGATGAATTTGAAAATGGCTTCCATTTTGTCTAAACTTGAGAATGTTTTCTCCTTCCTTTCTCCATTTGGAAACCGTATTAAAATCTGAAGAAGATAAACCGGACATCAAGTACAGGTCTATAAGCCAACTGTACAACCATGACTTGCAAAACAAACCTGGGAATGTTGACCATTGGCAGTTGCATTTTCTTCGTGTTGAGCTTTATTTTCTAGTTTTGACATCTTTTCCTAAAGCCAAAAAAATAAAAAGTTATATAAAATTCCGGAACCTAAACATAACCGCTTTAACTGCTTGTATATTACAATTTTTTGTAAAATACGATAGTGGATCTAAATTTATTTTTGACTTGGGCATTGGGGAATGATGGATGATAATGACATTATACATACCAATCAGACTATATAAAAAATACTAGTGGAATTTGACAATGAGACATGCATGACTAGTCCGAGTGATATGAATGGTGGGACCCATGGAATATATATAAAAAAATGCATGATTAAACGAACCTGATCCGCTTGGAGAGAGGCAGCAAAAGCGGCATCTTGTTCTTGTATCAATCGAATATCGTCTTTTCTTTTTTCTTCAGCTTGTGCCCTTGTATTACTAAATGCTGATTGTTGCTCCTCGAGTATCGTTTGTAGTATTTCTACTAGTTCTTCTGGGGTCACCGGCCCTTCCATCTACTTAATAATATGTTCAGAACTACCGATTGCATTAAAGATATATAAATGAAATTTAAAAATATACGAGAAAACGTGCGACATACTTCTAGAAATGGAAGTGAAAACTGAAAAGTAAATGATGACAAATTTATTGTTCTTTCATCATTTTTCAAAAAGAAACTTTTATAAACATAGTTTACGGGATCAAATCATATTCTCGTTAATCCACTAAAATAAAGCAAGACTACAAGAAATCAAAATCTTGGTTTGTGGTTCAAACATACCTGTTGAACCACGTCTAAGTTGTGGCCTGAACCAGGTGCGACAACCGCACAAAACGGATAGCTAGCTGCCCGAAGTGTTGTAGCCATATGCAAACCCTCACCTTGATCAGCAACACCACCCCATGACACGAAATTTGCATCAAGAAACTGCACCACTACTTCAGAACACAAAGTTTCCTTACAAAAATGTGGTGTAAATGGGTGATTAGGCAAATGCAAGTACAAGAACACAAACTTGTGTTCATCTTGAGCCATCTTTAACGCCTCCACGAACCTACATGCATAGAAGAACGGATGGATGATGCCAAAGTGTTGCTCAAAACATGATAGAAAACTCAGATCTGGTTGAAGATGATTAGAAATGGAGTGATCTAGTGGAGGGTGGTGGTGGTAAACAGGAACATTTGGTGGTGGGAATTGGTGGTGGTGGTTTCTCATGAGGTCTAGTCCTTGATCCATTATGGCTCGTGGGAGGCTAACCATTCGACGCACTAGTCTAGTGCATGAGGCTTCCAACATTTCTAGTGGATTAGCCATTTTGGGTTGAGCCACAACACTTGCATCACTAGAAGCCTATGTAGCACTTCCTCTGACAAAATGGAAACTTGGAAGAGATTAAAGTAAATGGGAACCCAATGTGGTAAAGGTCGTTGCTTTTTGACTATTTGATCAATTAGCAATAGTTTCTATGGTTGTCATCATGTAGTTTTGTTTTTTAGTAGGCATTTTAAAAAAATGACCGTTTTCTAGGACATTTACATAATATTTGTTCAAGAATTTGCAATATATTTTTCTTGTGGGTAATCAAGATTTCAAGTCGATTTATCAAAGTTTGCATAGTAATCAATATTCAATACTGATGTTGTTTTTTGCGAATTTAAGGATAAAAAAAGTGATATGAAAACTTTTGTAGGTTATCATTTTTATAGGGCCATTTATTTACAGGGAAAGCAAAGATTTAAGATCGGTTTATTTTATCAACGGTGAAATATATAGATGGTGCTCATAATAGTATAATACTATTTTGTCGGTCGTTACGTATTTGAGGGAAGAAACAAAAAAAGGAGGATATATATGTCATTGTATATCGATAACAAAACAAAACTACAAAAGTAACCGGACAAGAAGGTAACTGAATGAACTATTATAATTAGCCCTGTCAAAAATACCCGTTATCTGAATTACCCACCCGATTGATTTTTTCGGGTATCGGGTAAATTGGATTAATTTTTTCGGGTAAATGGGTAACCCGATTTTTTCGGGTCGGGTAAATGGTAAGTTGTTTGGGTTTCGGGTATACCCGATTACCCAAAATATATATAAGAAATAATGTTCCTTTATGAGTTTATCTAACCCTCCCAATTCCCAATTTCCAATTCCCAATGTCCCTCGTTGAGGTTCGTTTTATTTTCCCCACATCAAAAAACCCTCGTACGTTGTCCGCTCTTCGTTGGTATTCGTTACCAATGGATGACTATATTGAAGTAGAAGATGAGACGATTGAAGTTGACAACCCAACCAATAATCAAGTTCCACAAGAAAAAGAGAAAAAAAAAATAAAGAATTCAACTCAAGATCGAAAGTTTTGAAAGAATATTTGACATCTCAAATATTATTGAATAAAAAATCTCAATGTTCAAAGTTCAGCACGAAATACTTATTTCATTACATTTATTTTTAGGTGTCATTAGAAAGTTAAAAAAATAAAAATAAAAATTAGGTAGTATTCGAATTACCCTTACCCGAATTTAATTTGGATAGGGTAGCGGGTAAATTTTTTTATATGAAAAACCCGAATTACCCGAAACCCAAAAATTTTAGTCGATCAACACCCCCTAGTTATAATCATCAGTAACTTTTTTTTAATATTATAAATATTTTCTTTATTTAATGTGGGTATGTGATTAAGGGTGTTGATCGGGTAAAATTTTTGGGTTTCGGGTAATTCGGGTTTTTTATATAAAAAAATTTACCCGTTACCCTACCCAAATTAAATTCGGGTATGGGTAATTCGGGTAATGGGTCGGATAAGGGTAATTCGGGTATTACTCGATTTTTAATTTTTTTAATGGCACCTAAAAATAAATTTAATGAAATTAGTATGTCGTGTTAAACTTTGAACATTGAGATTTTTTAATCAATAATATTTGAGATGTCAAGTATTCTTTCTAAACTTTCGATCTTTGGTTGAATTCTTTATTTTTTTTTCTCTTTTTCTTGTGGAACTTGATCATTGGTTGGGTTGTCAACTTTAATCGTCTCATCTTCTACTTCAATATAGTCATCCATTGGTGACGAATACCAACGAAGAGCGAACGAGGTACGAGGGTTTTTTGACGTGGGGAAAATAGAACAAGCCTCAACGAGGAAAATTGGGAAATGGGAATCGGGAGGGTTAGATAAACTCATAAAGAGACATTATTTCTTATATATATTTCGGGTAATCGGGTATACCCGAAACCCAAACAGCTTACCCTTTACCCGACCCGAAAAAATTGGGTTACCCACTTACCCGAAAAAATTAACCCGATACCCGATAAAATCGGTTGGGTAATTCGGGTAACGGATATTTTTGACAGGGGTATATGTGATACCAAAACTTTATTAGTAATATTAATATGTATGAGTTCACGTAAATAAATATGCATACATATATACCAATACCCGGCATTCATTTTCAAGCCTGGTTCCTTCCGATTGAAGGCAAATCTCAACTTGTAAAAGCACTAGAGTTGTTTTGTTCCATAAAGATACGACACGGACCACCATTTTCAAAGCCTCATAATCGCCTATTGACTCTTTCTTTTCTTTTCTTTTTAATTGAAACCAGTTGGTATGAAACTATCTATAACTTTTACTGTATGAAATACAACTTTGATCGTAAGAATTGTTGCTTTTGGGGAAGAAAAAAAACTTACCAAACTTTAAGGTGGGGATACCAAAATGAGCTTGACGCCATGATGGAGATTGGTCTTTACTCATTAGTTGGATAATCCTATGATGGTCTTTGGGTGGACAATCTTATGATGGTCAATTGATCCTATTGTGGAATTTATTCTATCCAAAGTCGCACCACAATCTTATGATGTTGTAAAACCGTAATAATTAGTTTTTAGTGCCAATTAAATTTGGTTAAAAAAATCTAAAAGTTGCAAAGAAATGATTTTCGAAAGTAAATATAAAATCAAATATCTACCACTTTATTCACTTTATGACAACTAATTATTTGGGATTTGATTCTTAACAATCATTAAAAGAACCATGTTTCTTGATTTGATTAAATAGTTGAACTCGATATAAAATTTTAAATGCACTACTTTTACCGCATAAAACTTGTGTATGTGATCATAACAATTTTAGAGTGAACATCCATAGGGCTCACAAAGTACTACAGAGAACCAACTAATATGTTACCAACCGAACCAATTAAATCGGTAGCCAAGTTGTTTGGTAGCCAATATGTTTGATTGATAATACCATGACAATTAAGTAGTCTTGGTACGGTATATATATATATATATATATATATATATATATATATATATATATATATATATATATATATATACAAAGAAATATGAGTTCTCATATCTTCATGTTTTAATTAGTAACAACTAACAAGTCTTAGAATTATTAAATTAACACATTGACCGATAAATTTCTTGATACTTATTGTTTGATGTGCACGATATCGATGATACATACACAAACTTAAAAAGGAATACTAACTTCTCATTCTTTGTACTTGTACTTGTACTTGTACTGTTACCATTTGTTTCCTCTAGCAACTTGCTAGGGGTGGACTTCTTTTAATCATTTTAGTGGTCTATAAAAAAAACTTCCAGAAGCAAGTGAAGCAACGATCAAATGTCCACAAATTCAACTTATATTCATGTATAATACATATTAGTTAAAAATTTTGGTATATACCAACCAAATTTGTTAGTAACCGAATTAATTGGTATCAAGTACACTTGATACGGTACTGGTAGCTAAAATCTTATACCAACTATCATTGGTACAATACACGGTTTGGAGAAAAAAATCGGTACCGTACCAATTGCATCCCTAAACATACACCATATCTTTCTCAAGGGTAATTCTTCTGTTACGGAAAATTCTCAAATCTAAAATAATGAACTTTTATTCATAATATGCATGTTATCGCCACATCATTATTCTCTAGATATGAATTCATAGTTAAGATCCAATAAGACATACCACTTTCATTGCATGCAAGTTTACATGTCACTCAAACATCATCGAATATATATTTGTTGGTGGTTTTAATGTTATCAACATATTTTGGCATAATTATTATTAATTATAAGATAGGTCGAGCTTAATTTATTAACTGAGATAGGAGGTGCAGGTTGCATAGTCGGAGTGATAAATGTGAACTCAGGAATACGCGAGTTTGGGGGCAACGCCCCTGGATGCAGGGTTCCAAGGGGTTGTAGCCCCTTACTGGGGTCTAGGGGTAGCGCCCTGAAACATAAACGGATTTTTACATCAGGTATGACTCCAACCATGCATTTTTCGGCTAAAACTCACTTGATGATGCAAACGTTAGTTATGTATAATAACTACCAGTTTTAACGCTAAATTTGGTGACAACCGCCATAACCATTTTCCCCTCTGGTATAAGAACATTCCTCATGTTCCAGAAAATGGTTTAAAAAACCATATACTCTAAAAATCTTATTTTAAGACTTGTTCTATCTCTCAAGAACACAAACAACAAGGTATTTTTGTGTTTCTGATTTAGAAGTGGTCTGACTTCTAAATTGAATTTTTTTTGGATTATCTGAAATCCGATTTCGTGATACCCCGACTATAGGGTCGAAATCGTAGATTTTGGAAGGTGATGTCAATCACTAGGGCTGTAAACGAACTGAACGTTCAGTGAACAGTTCGTTTATTTAATAAATAAACGAAAATGAACACAAATTTTCGTTCGTTTAGTTAAACGAACGAACATTAACAAAGTTAAACGAACATGAGCATGAACACTCTCTTAAGTCTTATAAGCATATGGAGCACTATATAAAGTTTGCTATACTATATAATACAAATTCCAAATAAAAAACGTGTAGCTCGGAAAAGCAATTAACTTTGGTAAGTTGATATGCGTAGCATCTAGATTTTTCATAAAGATAGGAACCATAAAAATTCTTAAATATGTGTATCTAATACATAAAATAATATGTCTATTTTTTTTCTTTTTATCATATTACTTATGAATAAAACCAGTGGAATTCGAACACGAGACAAGTTTGAAGTAATTAATTTCCAAATGATCGCCGCTAAAACAATGTATCTAAATACCAACAAATATGTATGTAATGAAAGTGAGAAAGGGAGAGAAACAAAGCTTTAAATACCGAGGCAAACTAAGGCGGGTTAATGATCTAGAAAGGTAACCAATTTTAGGGTTTGTCCACATTAAGGTAACAATGTTTTTTCGTATACATTTGTCAATTGAACTTGTTTGACCTGTTCAAATTTAGGTAATATGATCGGCTATCTTAGGTTTA